CCTACAGACATACACACACACAGACAAAGATCCCCCGTGTAGCCTGTAACAGGCTGTAGGGGCAAGTTGCTGCTAGCGAGCACCTACAGACACACAGACAGACACAGACAAAGGTCCCCCGTGTAGCCTGTAACAGACTGTAGGGGCAAGTTGCTGCTAGCGAGCACCTACAGACACACACAGACACAGACAAAGGTCCCCCGTGTAGCCTGTAACAGGCTGTAGGGGCAAGTTGCTGCTAGCGAGCACCTACAGACACACAGACACAGACAAAGGTCCCCCATGTAGCCTGTAACAGGCTGTAGGGGCAAGTTGCTGCTAGCGAGCACCTATGAAGGCCGGTAACGGTACACGAGGTGGGGGGTGGGTGGCCAGCTGCCACGCCCGGCCGCCTTTGTCTCCCCCGGCGCTAGCGACGTTCACTGCACACGCCACCAGCTACTCACTTGAGGCTGAGTCGACCCTGGAGAGGGGAGGCCCCGGCACCGCCTCAGAGAATCGTCCTCCGGTTGGCCTCTGGCCTTGAGCGGGAATGGAACCCCAGGTCGTCCGGGTTCTTTGTGCTAACCCGCTCTAGCGTGACGTTGAGGGGGGGACGTTGGGGGAACGTTGGGGGGACGTCGGCTCGCGACGTTGAGGGGACGTTGGGTTTGTGGCGCTGCAGTGTACGTGAAGAGAGTCATCGTCCACCCGTCGTTCCACAACATCAACTACAAAGAGGCAGAGGCTCTGATGGCGACACTGGACCAGGGGGAGGCCGTGATCCGTCCCAGCAGCAAGGTGAGCGGCCCAGTCAGTCACTCAGTCAGTCAGTCAGTCAGTCACTCAGTCAGTCAGTCAGTCACTCAGTCACTCATACACTCATACACTCACACACTCATACACTCACTCAGTCAGTCACTCAGTCAGTCACTCAGTCAGTCACTCAGTCAGTCACTCAGTCAGTCAGTCAGTCAGTTAGTTAGTCACTCAGTCAGTTAGTCAGTCAGTCAGTTAGTCAGTCAGTCAGTCAGTTAGTCACTCACTCAGTCAGTCAGTCAGTCACTCAGTTAGTCACTCAGTCAGTCAGTCAGTCACTCAGTCAGTCAGTCACTCAGTCAGTCAGTCACTCAGTCAGTCAGTCACTCAGTCAGTCACTCAGTCAGTCAGTCACTCAGTCAGTCACTCAGTCAGTCACTCAGTCAGTCAGTCACTCAGTCAGTTACTCAGTCACTCAGTCACTCAGTCAGTCACTCAGTCAGTTAGTCAGTCAGTCAGTCACTCAGTCAGTCAGTCACTCACTCAGTCACTCACTCAGTCAGTCAGTCACTCAGTTAGTCACTCAGTCAGTCACTCAGTCAGTCAGTCACTCAGTCAGTTACTCAGTCACTCAGTCACTCAGTCAGTCAGTCACTCAGTCAGTCACTCAGTCAGTCACTCAGTCAGTCAGTCAGTCACTCAGTCAGTCACTCAGTCAGTCAGTCACTCAGTCAGTCACTCAGTCACTCAGTCACTCACTCAGTCACTCACTCAGTCACTCAGTCAGTCACTCACTCACTCACCACCCACTCACTCAGTCACTCACTCACTCATTCACTCACTCAGCACTCACTCACCACTCGCTCACCACTCACTCACTCACCACTCACTCACCACTCACCACTCACTCACACACCACTCACTCACACACCACGTACTCACTCACCACTCACTCACTCACCACTCACTCACTCACTCACCACTCACTCACTCAGTCACCACTCACTCACTCAGTCACCACTCACTCACCACTCACTCACTCACTCAGTCACCACTCACTCACCACTCACCACTCACTCACCACTCACTCACTCAGTCACTCACCACTCACTCACCACTCACTCACTCAGTCACTCACCACTCACTCACCACTCACTCACCACTCACTCACCACTCACTCACCACTCACTCATACACTCACTCACCACTCACTCATACACTCACTCACTCACCACTCACTCACTCACCCACTCATCCACTCACTTACTCACCCACTCACTCACCACTCACTCACTCAACCACTCACTCACCCACTCATCCACTCACTCACCCACTCACCACTCACTCACCCCCTCACTCACCACTCACTCACTCACTCAACCACTCATTCACTCACTCACTCACTCACCCACTCACCCATTCACACAATCACCACCCCCTCACTCACCACTCACTCACTCGCTCACTCACCACCCACTCACTCACCCACCCACTCAATCACTCACCCACTCACCCACTCCCTCACCCACCCACCCACCCACTCATTCACTCACTCACTCACTCACCCACCCACCCACCCACTCACTCACTCATTCACTCACTCACTCACCCACCCACCCACTCACTCACTCACCAACCCACCCACTCAATCACCCACCCACCCACTCACCCACTCACCCACCCACCCACCCACTCACCCACTCACTCACCCACTCACTCACTCACCCACCCACCCACTCACTCACCCACTCACCCACCCACC